GTACCACTTCACACCTGAGACAAAACAACAATCACGTTAGTGGCGGCATTCCTCTTCGCCTAAGCCTCGAAAATTCAAGCAAACACAGTCTGCCGGTAAAGTCATGGCAACTGTGTTTTGGGATCGAAACGAGGTATTGTTGGTTGACTTTATGGAAACTGGGACCACAATAAATGCTGAGAGATATTGTGAGACACTGAGAAAACTCAGGTGGATGATTCAGAACCGGAGAAGAGGGATGTTGAGCAAGGGCATAAGCATTCTCCATGATAATGCTCGCCCCCATGCTGCCCAACAAACCGTCGCTCAACTGCAACAGTTTGGATGGAACATCATCATTCATCCTCCCTATAGTCCAGACTTGGCGCCCAGTGACTACCATCTCTTTCCAAAGTTGAAAGAACATTTGTCTGGAAAGCGCTTCAACAACGACGATGAGGTAAAAGCTGAGGTTCGAAGTTTCCTGAACAGCATGGAGGTGAACTGGTATGACATGGGCATGCAAAAACTCCCACTGCATCTACAAAAATGCATCGAACGAAATGGCGATTATGTAGAGAAATGAGTACATGTTCAAGATTCAACTGATGTATCCAAAATTGAAAATAAATGTTTATTTTATATTTTCAAACATAGGAGACCTTACTTTTGGAATTACTCTCGTATATGTGAGCTAATACTGACTTCTTTCATTCCTTGCTATCTGTTTGTGTGTGGTATTTTTTTACTTGCTTTGCTTGGGACAAAGCATCTGGTGTCTGCTGCTTATGAAAGAATTGTTCCCACACAAACTCCGACTTGCTTTCAGAGAGATAATTTGTTAGCTAACTTTCATTAAGTGCTTGTTATCTGTGTTTGTGTGTGTCTATTTTTTTTTTTTAGTGGCTTGGCTTACTGGTGACAAAGCAGCTATGTCTGATTTACGATGTTACGAACCTAGGGGTCGAAGTTGCCTGACGCCTGTGTCAACATTTATGAATTTGTTATTTCTTTTCTGCCTTGCGACACTCTCTTAGCGAGCCCCATGGCATCTTGGTCACGTAACTTGTCTGGCGGGACAGTTTCTTGTGGGTTCCCACAACTTTGAATGAAATTAGGGTATTCCTAGGTTTGCTTATGCTGATGGGAATTCAGAAACCAAACCTCAGAATGTATTTTAGTAGGAAACAAGGGAAAAAGTGTGGTACGAAAAATTATTCAACCACTTAGTTAGTTAGTTATTTGGAGAGGGTGGGTTTTCCCATGCACTTAGACCTGTATTGGTCCATTGTGCTTCCCTCTATGATTTCTACCAGTCTCTATATCCTACCGCTACTCGTACTTACCATCAGTCCCGCCCAGCCAGCGAGACCGGCTCTACTGGCTGAGATGTATCTATAATGCTTCCCCCATCTACCAGAGGTATTAGAGACTGCTGTTGGGCGAGAAACGTCCGCAGTTTGGCTCAGTGACCTCCTTTGGAGTTATCAGGTTCTTTTACGTGCCGTAAAGCTATGACATGGAACCCATGGCTTAAAGTCCCTCCCGGAGGACTTGTTCCCTGAATTTTTCCACCCTTAAAAATTCGACGACCTCCGCCGGGTATTTGAACCCGTGTACTACGAGTCATGAGGTGGGAACGTTACCTCTAGACTACGGAGGCCGCTTATTCAACCACTTAGTATCTTGTGTCTTATTTACGATGTTATGAACCTAGGGATCAAGGTTGCCTGGCGAGGTTGCCAGACGCCTATGTCAGCATTTATTTCTTTTCTGCCTTTGGATCGTCCCTTAGCTGAGCTATTTAGTTCACCATGGCATCTTGCTCTCGTAACTTGTCTGATGAACAAGTGCTTGATCTTTTGGACAAAAACTGTTCAGTAGATTCGGATACAACCTCTGTGGGTTCATGTGGATATACTCTCGATTCCAGTTCTGAAGAAGAAGAGGAAGAACCTCAATTTTCTCTGAATATTCCAGATAATACTTGGGAAGAGGTCGACGGTGCTAATCCTCCTCTACCTTTTGCGTGTGATTTAGTTGGGAAACAAATAGTGCCAGTTCAGTGTACCGATGATCCTCTGGGATATTTTGAGTTAGTTTTTGATGACGATCTGATTACGATGATAGTGAATGAAACAAACCGTTATGCGGAAGAGTTTCTTGCTCATCAGAAAGAAAAAATCCTGACCCAAAAGAAATCACGGTTTCAAAACTGAGTTCCTACAACTTTGAATGAAGTTAGGGTATTCCTAGGTTTGCTTATGCTGATGGGAATAATTCAGAAACCAAACCTCAGGATGTATTTTAGTAGGAAACATATGCTAGAAACACCATTTTTTCCCAATGTAATGAGTGAAGAAAGGTTTTCATTGCTGACCAGATTTCTCCATTTTGTAGATAACACCAATAAGGAAACTGCAAAAAGAGATCCTAAATTGCACAAAATTCTTCCGGTTAGTGAATATTTGAAAAATAAGTTCCAGAAAGTGTACATACCGGGCAAAGAAGTAAGTGTCAATGAATCTTTGTTATTGTGGAAAGGTAGACTTTCGTGGAAACAGTATATTCCTATGGAAGCTTCCCGGTTTGGGATTAAAATTTTTGAACTTTGTAATTCTGCAGGATATTTGTGGAATTTTATAATTTACAGTGGATCAGGAACAAAATTAGGCTGTGAAATCACCAAAGACACAGATCTTTTCTCAACAAAAGTTGATCTAAGTTTGTGCGAGAAACTATTAGACTCGGGCAGATGTGTTTATATGGACAATTTTTATAGCAGTCCCGATCTTTTCCAGAGATTAGTTCAGAGGACAACAGATGCTGTTGGAACAGTGAAAATCACGTGGAAAGGTATGCCAATAGATCTAAAAAAGAAACTGAAGAAAGGAGAAGTAGTTAGTGCAAAGTGTGGGAAATTGGTGGCGTTGAAGTGGAAGGATAAGCGCGATGTCTCAGTGCTAACTACTAAACATTCAGACGAAATTCAACCCCTAAGTCAAAACGGTGGGTTAGAATTTGTAAATAAACCTATGTGTGTAATAGAGTATAATAAATATATGGTAGGTGTAGACTTGAAAGATCAGCTACTAGAAACATTCTTGCCAGAAAGGAAAAGGCAAAAAGCGTGGTACATTCTGTACTGCAAGGCTGGTAACAAGAAAGATCATGTGTTATTCAGATAAACTTAGGGAATAAGATTATATCAAAGTCCCATGGACAGAATTTAGAAAAGCGCAAAGGGCGTCCTTCAGATACCGACATGGAATGTACGAGATTGACGGGTCAGCATTTCATTCAAGAAAATCCCAAAACCGAAACTTATAAAGTTGGAAGAAGAAGGTGTGTGGTGTGTACAAAAAACGGAAAGAGAAAAGAAACCAGATACAGGTGTAAAAACTGCCCAGGGACACCGTCTCTCTGCCTAGACCCCTGTTTTGAGCAATACCACACCAAGGTCAACTACTAGACACTGGATATGGAGAGCTGGGAAAAATAAATAGCTTGACAAAATGTAAGTACACATTTATAATAATGAACTGTAAACAATTGTAAATATAATATAATTTTTTGGAATTTTTCAAATAGCTTTTAAATGCACAAAACCTTCAGTGCTTGTGAAAATAAAGCACCGGGAAGGATTTAAATACCCCCGCTTAAATTCATGCTAGATGCATGTAACTGAGGGGACGCATATGGTGCGTCGCACACGCTTGAGGGGTTAAATACCCCCGCTTAAATTCACGCTAGATGCATGTAACTGAGCTGACGCATATGGTGCGTCGCACACACTTGAGGGTTAAATGTATATCTACAGACCATGTAGATTTGAAAAACAAAGATACTGCTTGGTGATCTTGGGTGTAACACCATGTAGTCCAGTAGATGTTCACCAATATGTAGGAGGAACATAGACTCAAAAAAGTAAGCAAAGTAAAGCTTATTGCCTTTTATTGCCAGCAACTTGCTTGGCTTATGCTTCAACTCTGAAAATGGAGACAATATGTTCCTCCAGAATATCAGTGAACTACCAGACTATATGATGTTACATACTAGAAGATAGTACCCCTTTATAGTAACCACTGTGAGAACCTCATATACAGAAGAGATACTGGATGGTTTCAATTTTCTAACAGTACTGCATCAACTAGAGGGTTTATGCTTCGTGAGATATATAGTGACATAAACATCTTTCAATATTTTTAATGCTTTAAAACAAATCAGTTTCATCAGTGATGATGATGATGGTGATAATAGTAATAATAATAATAATAATAATAATAATAATAATAAATGTGAAAGTGTATATACCCAGTGCAACGCCAGTGGGCATTGTTGATAGATATGTGATATCAAGTATTGTCACTCGAAGAGTACGAGCTTCCACTGTTGTTATATCAGCCATGTAACTGAACACTGCAGCAAAGATTGCCAAATCTGCTCCAGTTAGAGCAGATGGCAGAGAAGCTGACAGCAGCACCACCTCAAGTGGCCATGTGACTGAAAAAGTACAGGATTATCATTATCACTGCTCTAATCACTATCATACAGTTATCATTATTATTGTCATTCCTGTTACTGTTGTCATCATCATTATATATTGTGGCGTGTCTTGGGTTCGAATCTCGTTGACCACGTGTATAAGTTCTATCCCACTTCTGACACCAATGTGGTGTGTCTTGGGTTCGAATCTCGTTGACCACGTGTATAAGTTCTATCCCACTTCTGACACCAATGTGGCGTGTCTTGGGTTCGAATCTCGTTGACCACGTGTATAAGTTCTATCCCACTTCTGACACCAATGTAGCGTGTTTCGTGTGTCACGCTACAAATAAGTTCACGCCGTCATTTGGTATAGCGAGTTTATTCCTTTGCTCGTCTTACACACTTTACAATCATTCCCGTCTGCAGTGTCACAATCACTGCTTACGATAACTCGGCGATGCTGGACTATCTCTTCTGGCGGTTATCCCAAGACTGACTTCCAAGATAGCTCGATCACGACTGGCTTCTTAGCTGGCTCGATGAAGACTGAAGACTTCTCGTCGAAACTGGGCTTTTATAACCTTGGCCGCTGTTAGGCAACGAATCCTTTGTTATAACCATGGAGACTCCTGTTAGAACTACAATGGAGCAATTGTTGTCTCCTCTGTAACGGTCTATTCTAGCATTTCCATAGCAGTGACTCTTCTGGATTGCAAACACGTTACAATATGTTAAAATTCATCCTACTAATTCTTTTATTATTTGCTGCTCATCTGGAAAAATAGTGGCTATTAAGGTCAATAGATTATTTCATCTGTTTTGAAAGTGGTTAAAAAATGGCATTTTGTAAATTGCTTGGAACTGAACATTAAAAAACTAGTGTTATATTTTATTCATGAGGTCAATATTATTAATTTTAATTACCATTTTTATGATATTTCAGTTTTGAGTACTGACTTTAAAATATCTTGATGTTTTGTTGGACAGTAAACTGTACTTTCATTAGCATGTTAATTATGTATATTTTCAGGCACTGTAATATCTACAGATCATTGATTTCATAAAAAAAATTTACGGATGTGGGGGTGCAAACCTGGACCAATGACATATCCCAAGTGAAAGAATATTCCTCATATCGAATGATTTCCATTGCACTCAAATCTCGAGTAGTGGCAGTGAAGTGATATATTGTGTTATCCACAATTTAATATTTAAAAAAAGTTTTATTTTAGTCTGTAATTGTGTTGTAGGGACAACATATTTAATTCTGTTTTATTAGTAATTCGGTGATTTTGTTACTATTAATGAATAATGAAAATGTAGATATACTTTTTCCCTCTTCAGTAAAGAAAAAAATAAAAACGAAGTTTGATGCTAATCAACCTAGAAGTTTTAAATATGGGCAGAGGGGGAAAGAATCAAAATAGGTCATTCTCCACTTCTTGGTTTGATAAGAAAATATGGTTGACTGCACGTGATGAAAATAAATCATTCTTCTGTTCTGTATACATTTTGTTTGGAGGCGAAAGTAACTGGACTGTTACAGTCATTAGAGATATTAAGAACATCTCTGAACAAGTGAAAAAATGTGAAAGCTCTGCAACCCATAATGAAAATGATGTAACATTTAATGTTTTCATTTTTGTAGATATTTTTCCAGCAGAATGAGTGCTATCATTAATCCATTCAGCGGCACAATGAGCTCGTAGGCAAAAATAGTCATAATTTTGGCAGAATACTAAATTCTACATTACAAGTGTACTTGTTGGCACTGAAGATGGTGTCTTATGGCACAATTCTGTTCTTCACTGCTGATTTAAATAGCACTTAGAAGAATCTGTAGGCTTGAAGTGCTGGACTGGATGCAGAAATGAAGAGAACAATGAATAGATACATTTGTAAGATTTGAGGTTTTCATGACAGTGAGTATGAAGAATGCCATCTTCTGGAATATGGCTGTAGCTACCTGCTCACACTGGTTCCTCACTCACAGATTTTTCTTCACTGAAGATGAAGGCGAAACGTTCCTCCAAAACGTCGGTTCACACAAGATCTACACAGTGCCACATCCCAGAAGACGCCATTCTTAATAAATAAATTTGTTTAATTCAGATTTTAAGTTTTTTGTTGACATGTGTTTGTTAGTGCAAAGAAGTTTTATGCTTGAATATTGAGAATTTTTATTGTAATATGTACCTTTCTTTCCTGAGAACCTAATACAAATCATGAGTTTGTCTTACAATCTATAATGTCCCCTTTCCAAAAATTTATTACTGAATCTAAGGTCTTACAGTCAACAGAATTGAGAACAGAATACAATACATACAACACAATTGAGAATTGAGGAAATATAGTAGCTATCATACAGTAATTGTTCTTATTGTAATTAAAACGTTCATCACAATTTTAATTCTTATTCTTGTTACATTTAACACTCCTTCTTGTGGTCAATCGTAATTATTGCAGTTATATTATTTTTTAATGGAATTAAAATTGTTTTATGGGAATATATTCATGGGACTGGACGAAGAGTGAGAGTGAGGCGTGGCATAGCCTGGCCAGTGTACACCTATCTTTCAATAAGTATCAGGACTCCCACTGCCACTCTTCTGCGCTGTTCAATAAAAGTGGAGGACATCCCCTTTTCTATTAACAGTGGAATATTCTTGAAGTTGTAACATGTATAAAACTATGATTAAAAGTCAAGGAGAGGACAGTTTTAATCTCAGCCTGAGCTTTGAAGAGGTGGAGTGCATACCTCTAAGGAGAAGGTGTGGTGAATCATTAATTGAGTGTGGTAGAAGAAATGGTCATTGCAGTAGTGTGTAAGGTGAAGACTGGTATCAAGATTGTAAGTGGTGAGACATTAACTGCTCAAAATAATTATATACAGTAAAATATTTACTAATATTCCATAGTTCAGCTTGTCCAAGCAATTAGAAATGTTGGGTAACTGTTCTTAAAAACAGAACGATAATTGCAAGACATTTCTAGTCATATACGACAATTAGCACATCTGAAACATTCATATTACCTTGCAGTGCATTGACGACGACCATAAGAGAATAATACAATTTGCCAGCTAGTCCCAAAAGTAGTGGCAATTTGCGTCCACGACGATCACTCCATGCACCCAGAAAAAGCACCAGAACCAAAGGTACAGCATGTGAGGCTACACTGTTGTACTGGTGAAAGTTTGAGACTGTAACCTGAGCAGAAAAGAGAAATATGTTTCATTTTATGTAGTAATTACAGCCTCTATGATCTTTATTGGGAGCCAGGATAGTGCAGTCATTATAGCGACTGGCTACAGGCTGGATGACAAGAGGAGTTGGAGTTTGGATCCCAATAGGGTCAAGAACGTTCTCTTCTCCACGTTGTCCAGACCAATTCCAGGGACCACCCAGCCTCCTTTTTGTTGGGCACCAGGGACCCTTTCCTCAGGCGTGAAGCTGACCACTCACCTCCATCTAGTACTGAGGTCAAGTAAGCTTGGGTCTGTACATCTGCTCCCCCATATGTCTTCATGGCACAGGTTAGTTAAGCACAGGGACATCTTTACCTTTATTTCTTCCTCATTACTTCATGGCCATAAGTAGAACAGTATTAAACGTAATCTGCATGATATTGTTTCCTCAGCTAACAGGATATTTTGTTTAATTTACAAATGCCTGTGTGCCATGTGGTAGTTGTAGATACAGGTGGAGGATAAACATCGAAAATAAAGTCAATGATTAAAGCTAAAGCAGTTCTTATAATGATAGATATTGCCATTACACTAATAATGTTCCCCAAATTTGTGACCTTTGTGCAAAAGTTACATAGAATATGTTGTTCTCATATCTGTATCCTGTTTCCCAGACATCTAGGTGTGGCTTGTACATGTGCAAATTTGGTACTCATATTCTGTAGTGAGTGCAAAGATCTTCTTTAAGGGAGCAGACTGTGATACTGATCACTGCCTAGTGGTGATGAAATTTAGGGAGAGACTGGGGGTAATTAAACAGGCAACACAAAGATTTGATATGGAGAGATACAATTTCAAAGAAACTGAACGAGGTAAATGATAAAGAACAATATTAGCTCAAGGTCTCAAACAGGTTTGCAGCTTTGGAAAACTTAGTTGATGATGTGGACATCAATATGCCATGGAAGTATTAGAGAGAATACATAATTTTCAGCCAAGGAGAATTATTATAGATTGAAGCATCATAAGCCACAGTTTGGCTAAGGATGTTCACAGCTATTAGATCAGAAGGAACTAACCAAATTGTAATAGTTGCAAGATGCAAGTCAAATAAATGTGAATCATCTGAACAATGTAACACATGAAGGTAGCAGTCATTTCAGAAAGAATAACAGGGAATATCTGAAAGACAAAAAGCTTGCAATGCACATTAAGAACAAGATCTTTAAAGACTTTTATAGAGGTATAAATTAATTTAAAAGGAATTACTGGGTTTTTAAGATTTGTCCATCCTCCAGTATTCTAAAAACTATATAACATTACATTTTGGAAAGTGGGTCTGTTAACAATGTTATATTTTAGCATCCTGTTACACTGATTCATGTCCATGGTTTATGCTGACTGTCTTACAGTGTATACACTTTTTCACCATATTCTTCACTTCCACACTACATGTTTCGGCACTAATGTGCCATCTTCAGGTGTCTTTATGCACGTTAAACTATTGTACTGCATGCCACAATGTCTTCATTCTAAAATGACTAAAATCTGTGTTCGACATATAGGACGATGAATTCTAAATAATAAAACTTTCCAGGATTCTTCCTACGTTGCACTCAAACACGCGAATTATGCCAATCCTCTTTTATGTGAGCATTCCTCCTACATATATTTGTGTATCGTGTTCTGTGTTGTGTTTTGCTCCTATTACTGCAGGTCACACAAATCCAGCAGTACAACGCATGCAGTAACAGGAGCAAAACACAACACAGAACACGATACACAAATATATGTAGAAGGAATGTTCACATAAAAGAGGACTGGCGTAATTCGCGTGTTTGAGTGCGATGTAGGAAGAATCCTGAAAAGTTTTATTATTTAGAATTCATCGTCCTATATGACGAACACAGATTTTAGTCATTTTAGAATGAAGACATTGTGGCATGCAGTACAATAGTTTAACGTGTATAAAGACACCTGAAGATGGCACATTAGTGCCGAAACATGTAGTGTGGAAGTGAAGAATAAGGTGAAAAAGTGTATACACTGTAAGACGGTCAGCATAAACTGTGGGTCTGTTTCCATCCTCAGTTGAGGGGGGAGACACCTACTCTGTTGGGTCCCTTAGAAAGGGCTAACCTCAATTACTGGATCCAGAGTAGGTGTCTCCCCTCTCACCTGAGGATGGTAACAGATCCAGTTGCTGAAATATTGTGTTCTGTAGTTTTTAGAATATTAGATGATGAACAAAGTTAAAAGAACCCAGTAATTCTAATTACACCATTGTCAGAACCCTTTGGAATCTAGTTTAAGAGGGTGGTAAAGGATGAAAATGGTAATCTGCTTGCAGATTCCCACATTATGGATGCGTGGAAGAATTACTTCTCTCAGTTATTGAATATACATGTTAGCAATGGTAGGCAGACAGAAATACAACTGAGCCATTAATAAGGTAAATATTTGTGTGATATTCTTCATCTTCAAAATGGTCTAAAAAAGATGCTTTATTGTAATTTCTTTACAACTTTGTTTTAGAATATGCCATTAGGAAGATCTAAGGAAACCAGGTGGTAATGAAATTGAATGGGACACATCAGTTTCTACTCTATGCTGATGATATAAATCTATTGGGAGATAACATAAATCTCAAAATAAAACACAGAAACTCTCATTGATGCCAGTAAGGAGGTAAGTCTAGAGGTAAATGCAGAGAGAACTGTATTGTATCTTGCCACCAGAACAGAAGGCAAAATCATGACATAAAGATAGCTAGTAAATCCTTTGAAAATGTGGCGAAATCATGTATTTGGGAATGACAGTAAGAAATAAAAATTTGATCAATGGGGAAATTAAGAGCAGGTTAAACTCAGGTGAAGGTCGCAGGTTCAAGTCCCAATGAGGTCATTGGATTTTTTCAATTAACCCAATCCTTCCAGCCGCACTATGACCCTGGTGTCGACTCAGCCTCTAACAGAAATGAGTAGCAGGAAATAATTAAATACTTATACTGGGAAGTAAAGCGTGGCCGGCACGTAAGGTTGACAGTCTTACTGCCATCTTTGAGCCGATTGTCTAGATAATGTGGGACCCTCAACATCTCACAACCCTATGAGCCTTCATGGCCTGTTACAGGGATAGCTTTACTTTTTTTTTTTACTTTACTTTTAATGCTTGTTACCATTCAGTTTAGAATATTTTGTGAGGTTTCTAAAAATTTAAAAATTACAATATATGAAACTATAATTTTTCCTGTAGATTTGTACAGGTGTGCAACTTGGTCTCTGACATTAAAGGAAGAACAAAGACTGAGGGTACAATTATTGTGTTTCTGGAAAATTATAATCTTTCTGTTTTTTTTTATTTAAAATGTTTTGGAGACTGGATTCTGTCTTCATCTTCAGGTGGAACCTACTCTGATGCGTCCAATCAATAGAGCTAGTCCTTCTCTCTGGACATTGGATAATACCCAAAAACACAGTAGTTTTATTACTGTACCATTGTCACAAACCTTTAGGTCTTGAAGGCTGAGGGTATTTTAAAACAGGGATATGACGAGAATATTTGTACTGAAGAGAGAAGAAATAATAGGAGGTTTGAGCAAACTGCATAATGAGGAGCTTTGTAATTTGTTCTCTTTGCCTAGTATAATTAGAATGAGGTCAAGAAGGGTGACATGGGCAGGTCTTGTGTAAGGCACGGGAGAGAAGAGAAATAAGTATAGTGCTGTGGTGGGGAAACCACAAAGAAAAAGGCCACTAGGAAGACCCAGGAATCTTCTTCTTCTATGGCGCAACAGCCTGATGTCGGGCCTTGGCCTCCCTCACCAAGCCCCTCCATTCCTCTCTGTCCTGCACTGCTCTCTTCCTGTTCCTTACACCCATTAACTTCTTCGCATCTCCTTCCACCACATCATCCATCTAGTTCTTGGTTTCCCAGCATGTCTCCTACCACCTGTTGTACTATATAATATTTTCTTTGGGATTAGCTCCTTATCCATTCTCTGTACATGCCCAGCCCATTGCAGTCTTTTAGCTTTATCATCACTGAGACCTCTGGCTCCTTGTATAATTTGTATAACTCTTTATTATATCTTATTCTCCATATCCCATTCTCTTTTACTGGTCCATAAATTCGTCTTAGGATTCTCCTCTCGAATGAATTGATGACTGATTCCTCTTTCTTGTTTAGCGTCCAACCCTCACATCCATAATAAAGCACTGGTCTTATCATTGTTTTATAGTGTGACATGTTGCGCAACAGAGGACCCCCACCTCCCCAGCAGCATGTGGCGGTAATGTAGCACTCTCGTTACTATGGTAATAGGCGAGTCATCGCCCCACCACTCTCTCCACAGTGATGTAACGTGCAACGCACGGTGACGCAACACGACGACATGGCACCGGTTCCTACTGTGACACGGCACCGCTTCCTACTGTGACGTGGCACGCAACAACGCTGTTGACGCGGCAACAGGTAACAGCGAACGGAATAAAAGCTGGCTGAGCAGCAAGCGAGAGCCAGTGTGTTATCAACAGTTCTCAAGGCAGCAGCCTGCGAGTTGAGTTGAAATCTAGCTGGCGGAGAGTTACGAGTTGAATTGTATTGTAGTAGTCACCGAGTTTAGTTGTAACGAGTGAATCGTGACAGTGTGAAGAGATTTGTGTGTAGGGTTATAAATTGTGTAAACCCGTATCAGTGTTATAATTAATTATAGTCGTTACTTGTAGGTTGTTAAATAAACCAATTAACAATCTCTATGGTGTATTCAGTAACCCAACACGTTACAATATATTTTTGTTTTAATCGCTTGGTGTATATCCTTTGATCTAAAAACTGATAGTAACGAGAAATATGCATTATTCGCTAGTTTTATTCTTCTTGTTATTTTGTGATTATGACCATCAAGACATCAGTTATTCATAGACTTCAAGAAAGCCTAGGATTCAGTTAGGAGGGAAGTATTGTTCAATATTCTGATAGAGTTTGGGATACCCATGAAACTAGTTAGGTTGATTAAAATGTGTTTAAACGAAATGTATAGTAAAGTCCGTGTAAGTAAACATTTGTCAGATAAATTTCCTATCCAGCATGGTCTAAAACAAGGAGATACTTTATCGCCACTCCTTTTCAACTTTGCCTTAGAATATGCAATTAGGAAGGTCCAGGGAAACCAGGTGGGACTGAAACTAAACGGGACACATCAGCTGCTGGTCTACACCGATGATGTGAATCTACTGGGTGATAATGTAGATACCATAAAGGAAAACACACAGACTCTAATTGATGCAAGTAAAGAGTTTGGTCTAGAAGTAAACACAGAGAAAACTAGGTATATGTTACTGTCTCATCACCAAAATGCAGGGCAAAGTCATGACATAAAGATAGGAAACAGATGTTTTGAAAATGTGGCACAGTTCAGATATTTGGGAATAACTATAACAGATCAAAACCAGATTCAGGAGGAAATTAAGAGGCGATTGAACTCGGGTAATGCTTGCTACCATTCATTCCAGAACCTTTTGTCTTCTCGTCTGTTGTCCAAAAACATAAAAATTAGGATATACAAAACTATAATTTTGCCTGTGGTTTGTATGGGTGTGAAACTTGGTCTCTGACATTAAGGGAGGAACATAGACTGAGGGTGTTTGAGAACAGGGTGTTGAGGAGAATATTTGGACCAAAGAGAGATGAAGTGACAGGAGGTTAGAGAAAACTGCATAATGAGGAGCTTCATAACTTGTACTCTTCTCCAAGTATAATTAGAATGATCAAGTCAAGGAGGATGAGGTGGGCAGGTCATGTAGCACGAATGGGGAGATGAGGAATGCGTATAGGATATTGGTGGGAAAGCCAGAAGGAAAGAGACCACAGGGAAGACCAAGGCGTAGGTGGATGGACAATATTAGAATGGATCTTAGAGAGATAGGATGGGATGGTATGGAGTGGATAGATCTGGCTCAGGATAGGGACCAGTGGAGGGCTCTTGTGAACATGGTTATGAACCTTCAGGTTCCATAAAATGCTGGGAAATTCTTGAGTAGCTGCAGAATTGGCAGCTCCTCCAGAAGGGCTCAGCTCCATGCGTAAGTAAGTAGAAGAGACTGATATCAGTGGAAGTAACTCACTTGTCCTTGGAAATAACACCGAATACCACAATTTGAACATATAAAACAAACTTTGAATACTTGAACTTCTTTTTAATTTGCTATAACTGGATGGAATCTCACTTGAACTTGCTTGTTGTATTCTTTGTACTGGTTGTCTGCAAGGTTGGAGCAAATGTTGTCTGAAAAGTTGTGATTGGCACGGCAGGCTTTGTCAACGAAGAATGCTTGTTCAACCACTGATGTGAGCATGAAGGCCATCATGTACAGGAACATGACAGGCTCCACTGTAATAAGGTCCAACCAGTGACATCTCTGTGGCTTTCTGTCCTCCGCCGGTACCTGACAAAGTTGTGACGTATCATACAAATACACAGTTAACAATGATATCATTGATGGAGTAGAACAGAGTTAGGATATCCATGCTGTTATTCGGTTCAGCATATTCAATTTTATCATCATCTTTTCAAAAGGAAAACTGTGGCAAGGCTATGAGCTGGAAGACTGAGGAATCATGGATCGACTCCTGGCATGGGAAAGAGATTATTCCCTCTTCTGCAGTGTCCAGCACTGGCTCTGGACCAACTCACCCTCCTACCTAATAAATACCAGGATTTCTTTTCCTGGCAGAATAGTGACCACAGTTTGAAGCTGATGGCTCACCTTCTTCTAGTGCCAAGATTAAGAATGTGTGGAGTTATATATCCACTCCCCCCATCCATCTTCATGGTTGGTTGTATAATTAAGCATGGGGACAATTTTGTACTTACTTTTAAAACTGTAATTATTTCTCTGCTTTGTGTGGTTGTGACATTATGACTCTTGCTTCAAGTGAAGTAAACCACTGAAAGGACAGAGCAATATCTAACAAATGAAGTACTGGATTCAGAAAATTACATATTTAGGATAGCAATTTATATTTGTCATTCACTGTTAAAGAAATTGAAAGCAATGGAACGTGTAACACGAGGATATGCTAGACGTTGATTGGAAAGGCCCACACAAAGAGAACACCTCGGAGTAAGAAATCCTCAAGGCCATTATCTAAGCAAACAGACTCTGTGGGTTTGAACTGCATTAAAGAGGATCCTGGCTTTTGTCATGATGTTAATGAAACTTCAGTTTTCATAATGAAAGAAATTTCATGGATAGTTCAGTATGTATTACTGCTCAAGGAGTAGTTTGTATTAGGGAATTGGTTGGTTACCCAAAGTTAACAGAAGAAAGGAAAAGAGTAGAGTACATCATTTGTGATTTTGAATACCTGTCTTTAATATTCATTTATGGCTGGCACAGATCTTGCATGTAAATTCTGTCATCATATGTGTAATATTACTGTTTTGAATCTTACATAAACTAATGTGACACCCACTGAGAATTCAACAGAGAATTTCATTATTTGTTATTTGAAATTTGTACTGTTTGTTAACGGTTGGTACAGTTCGCTTCCAGACTGGAACCACTGAGTTTTTTTTAACTGTTTGTTAACTTCCCCTGCTCTCCTGTTTCCAGTCCTACAGTCATCTTCTGTGAATAGCACACATAATCTGTCTCCTTTATGTATTATATGACATTTCACATATCCACATCAAAATATTATCAACACTCACTCAACAGATGTGATACACTGAAAGGAAAGGTTGTTCTCTTTCATTACTTGCTACAGAACTTAGAGTCATGCAATGCTCTAATACTCAACATGTCATTGCTCTAGTAGCCTGAAATTGTACAGTTTCAGAGCTTTTATCTACCCATTACATTAGTTGTTTGTACATACAGAAGAACACCTGTCTGAAATAAGTTGAAGCCAGAAGGAAAAGAGACCACTGGTAAGGCCTAGACATAGGTGGGAGGATAATAATAAAATGTTTCCTAGAGAGATAGGATAAGGTGGTATGGATAGGATTGATCTGGCTCAAGATAGGGAGCAGTGATGTAATTTGAGTGTTATTCCTCCTTTACAATTGGGCTACTATATTACAATGCAAGGAGACTAACCATGTCACATGAAAAACAAATAGTTTTTTCAGAAACCATGACATAAATTCTGTACTCATGAATATTGCTACTTTGTCTTCTTGTTAAATGTCTTTAGTAAGTTTTGTCTGATTGTTAATAAAAGGCAGACAGAATCTTCCTTGACCAGATGACCTGGCCAAGAAATTTCCTTTATACTAATTTTGTGGAACATGGAAGTTCTTCACAAAGTTCACCTTTGAACGCTATCCTGAGCCACATCACACTTTCATAACATGTTTTCCTAAGATACATTAATAAATTATCATCATTATCCTTCCATCTACAAGCTAGATTCCTCAAGTCTTTCAGATTTTCAAATCACAGATTTTTTCACATTTCTTATTTTCCTTATATTCCATAATTATTAGAAAATCAGACCTCTTTCACTTCCATGGTATCTGCCATTGTCAAGAGCTCTTCAATCAGTGCTTTACTAACGAAATTAGTGTCAGTCCCAACCTATCTGTTTGTATGGAGCTGAGTACTGCAGTGGCCAAATGTTCTGGCAACTGAAGTTGTGTCAACTCATTTACCTATGTCATACTTTAAATTATTTTTATCTTGATTTATTTAAAAATGATGTGTCAATTGCATGGGTTATATAGAATCAAATAAACAATCACTGAGATTAGGCCAATCAAGGGTTTTTTAACTTAACAAATATTGACTTAATCTTCCCACAATTAACTGAGTAACTGCACTGTACAAATCAAACTGCTTTTCCAGCATACCGGCTTTAGAGATGCATTCTTTAAGTATACCAGAAACCGCCTTTGATATTACAACTTAAACTATATGTAAGTCTAAAATTGCTTAAGTTGTACCCCTGTCCAGATCAACATACCAAATGATCACTGGATACAAAACGTCAAGCCTTTATTTATTGTATCCCAGACAATGAAAATTGAATAAATGCCTACCTGTAAGATTTGAGGCTTTCACGGCGATGACTATGAAGAAAGCAGTCTTCTGGGATTTGGCACCGTGTATATGTGGTGTTAACCGACGTTTCGGAGGAACGTATCGCCTCCATCTTCAGGGTAGAAGGAAAAATATAAGTAATCCGCAAGCACCGTGAGAACCGGTGAAAACAGACTGGTGTTGGAAATATACACAGCTATGTGAGAGCAGTGAAGGAAGGGGGGAAGGGCAAGTATACAAGTGAAA